GACATGACTGCTAGTTGGTGTTCATGGATGTGCTCTGCTAGTCTTCTGCCTGTCTATCCTACATAGTGGCTGTTACAGTCTTTATACTGTATGTTGTAGATGGCTCCTGTTTTTTCTTCTTGGGCTATTGGGTCTTTTGGTTTACTTAAGAAGTTTTGGAGGGCTTTAGTTGGTTTGTGTGCTACAGTGATGCTGTGTGGTTGTGATAGTCTGTTGGTTGTTTCTGAGATGTCTCCGATGTATGGCAGTGTTTTCCTTTTCATAGCTTGTATGGGTTGTGCTGTAGTGGGTTGACTGGTCAGATACTTTTTGATAAAGTTGCGTGGGTATCCATTTTGTTGGAAGATATTGTATAAGCATATAGACATCAGCAGGCACATAGAGATAAATAACACTTGCACACCATTCAAAAGAGACAGTAAAAAAGCTAAAAAGGAAACAAAGAGACCAGAACACCCTCGGCAGCAAACAACACCCAGATAAGCAGGGATTAACACCAGGATTAACACCAGACAAACAAGCAGTAAACAATACCCTAATCAAGGAACTACCAAGGAAAAAACAACATCCCCACCAATCCTGACTGGGCAAGCTACTGTGTATAAACAGAGAACAAACCTCACTCCTTTTTAGCACTGAAGATGTTACCTAGTCAGGTAACAAAACTTCTGCAAGAAAACAACCAGGCTGTCAGGTCTACGATGTTCAAATCCCAACGAAGAAAGATCTCTTGAAACCCGGGTTAGGTTCAAAAAGAAATTTATTTACTGAGATTTACATGCAGCCTCAAAGCATTGCTGAAACTAAAAAGCCCGCACATTCCACTCTACTTTTACCCCCTTGTTCACCCCTCCTTCTCCTCGGCCAATGCTGGGTTCTCATGTTGTTGCGACCTTGCACATTCCTGGCCCTAGATAACAGTCCATCTGTGTGAACGTCTTCACCTTCCTTACTCCCCCCTCCCCCTTACTAAACAATTGGCAGAAACGAAGCAAACAACTACAAAGCCGATAGATTGATTGCTGGAGGTTCTGACACAGGCTCAGAGAACACCAAGGACTCCAACCCTAAGTACATATATTCTCTTCTGTTGATATGATATAACTAATCACTTCTATGTAGCTTGACAGGAATATAATTACACAAATAATTGTGAAATTAAGATATTATATTGAAACACTAATAGATTCAATATCTATAGTAACTCTGCTGCCATCCATGGATCATGATATTGTGCCTTTATGTTAATCATGTGTACAGGAAGCATCAAACTATTTTATTTACCTGCTTACTTGCTTTGCTTATATACCTCTGAATCTAAATGACTAATGGTGGTTTACAATGCAGTAGTCATAAAACACTATTAACAAAAAGAAAACAAAATCCAAATTAAAAACATTCAGTATAAATCAGTAAAACATGTCACCCCATCTAAACCAAAATAACACTGATTTCAAAGGTCCTATGAAAAAGTTCCATATGGAACAGTGTCAAGGTAGGTGTCAGTTGCACTTCCAAAGGGTTACAGGATAGTTCTACAGGATATGAATATCATAGTTACAGTATGCTTCAAACCTCCATCCCTCTCATCCTATTTCAGTGGGGAAAACAAAGCTGCTCTAACTGGGACCAGTACATTGGATGGTCCAGTTGTATCTAGAAGAGATGATTACACAGATACCTAGGAGCTGACCATTTAGGGTTTTAGAGGATAAAACCAGAACTTGTACTCAGAAACCTATTGGCAGCTAAGTGGGCTGCTCCATTTTGTACCAGTTATGATTTATAAGTAATTTTCTTAGGCAGCCCCACATAAAGTGCATTGCAGTAGTCTAAATAAGAGGTGATGAAAGCATGAGTCACTGTTGTCAAGATTTCCCACTCCAAATAACTGCTGTACCAGCCAAAGTTCTGGCCACAGCCTCCACCTATACATCTAGCAGGAGCCATGAGTCCAGGAGGACTCTCAGGTTAGGGACCTGGTTCTTGAGAGGTAGTTATATCCCTGTACTGGGTTAAGGAATTGTACAGGCTCACTCAGGACAAAGGCTAACCCCTGTTGGGAAAACTTTCTTTATTGCAACAGTAACATGATATAAAGCAAACTTTGCTTTACATGAAAGCAGATTACCCTATTTTCCTCTACCTTATTCCTATATTCTTGCTACATTGCTATGGATTATCTACTGTACTATAATTGCTGTGGTTTTATTTTCTACAATTTATAATCTGTTTTCTTTTTCTCAAATATGTATTTTTACTTTACCTCTTACTGTATAATTATATACCTTATGTCACTGTCTTATCTATATAAATATCCTTTATATTTTTAGTTATTCTAATTATTGTTTCTAAGTTCTTAATGTTCTACTTTCCTCTCCTCTCAGAATTGCTTACTGATTTCAGATTACTGTCTTTCAGCTGGACTTGCTTGCGCTTGGCATCATCTGGAAAGGGTGGTGTTTTATTACAGCTGCCATTTGTTCCTCATTGTTTCTCTCTGGATTTTCTGTTGCCCCAAAAATATAGTTGCTGCCATGTCCTTCTGAGACAGATATTACTGCAGTGCCTTCACACTTCTTTTGAGGTCTCCACTCATGAACTCTGCCTCCATTATGACTTTCAGGACATTCTCTCCCCTCTGCTCAGTTGCTACTCTTTGTAGCTTCACTTTGTGCTAGTACCTAACTGCTTGCCCGTGCTCTCAGACCCTCCAGTGCCAACCTTAGAGGCTCCCTGAGGACATATACACTTTACCCAAAGATGAATAAACTCTTCCAGTGGTTTATGTAGATGTTAAAAAAATAGGGATGTGAGGACTGAATCCTGTATTATCCTACAAATAAGCTCCCATCATCTAATCCTCTCCCTTACCACCATTGACTCATACTGCTTATTTATGAAGAAGTGGAAACACTGCAGAATAGTACCTTCAATCCCCAACCCTCACAAATGTCCCCAAAGGATACCATTTTATTAACACTGGTCAGCCTAGATACCATATTCTTCCAGCTAAGTACTGTAAAAGGTCATCCCCCAGATCACTGTATCATTTCCAGCCCATGACCATGCCTGAACCTTGAGTGAAAGAGGTCCAGATAATCTGCTTCTTCTTCTGCATATAATTCATTCTTCTAAATGAATTATATGCAGAAATAACAGAGATATCCTGATGATACATCCCATCCACTTTATACTTCTTCTTTTATACATAGTACATAAATATAAAGAGAGCCAGTTTGGTGTAGTGGTGAAGGCATCAGGCTAGAAACCAGGAGACTGAGTTCTAGTCCTGCCTTGGGCACAAAGTCAGCTGGGTGACCTTGGGCCAGTCACAGTCTCTCTCAGCACTAGGAAGGAGGCAAGGGCAAACCATTTCCAAAATTGCCAGGAGTCAACACTGACTTGAAGGCATTCATGCATGCATGCATAAATCTAAAAAAGTAATATATCATCTCATTGTCATGAGCTACTGGATACTAACAACATCTAACCTCTGCATCTACAAGCTTCAGCTCAAACAATATGAAAAACAGAGGCTAGAGGTCAATTTCTTGACAACTTGCTTTTTTGCTGGCATCGTGACATTTAATATAATGGCCACAGAATGGCCTACCATGTTGAGAATCCAAAAGGCAACCTATCTGGCTATCTAAAAAAAAGAACATGCTGTTATAGAATCATTTATCTGTTCTGCACATACACAGTATTTGGAATAATACACATGGTTATTTTGGTTTCTCTGTGGGAAATGAGCTTTTGCTAAGAAAGAACTACAGAAACATGTTTGCATCAGGAAGCATTGAGTTATCTGATAGTTTATTCACCACCATTTCATTCCCCAATTGGTGCTCCAATACTAGTTGGTGCTGAGTTCTAAAGGTAGGTCAGAAGGATAATGTAATTCCATGCCATATGTCTTAATATATGCTTGTAAGCATTGGTGTGCATGTGTAGATGCCCTCAGGTTAAGTCTCATATATCCACCCTATTTGTTATTTTGGATGTGTTTGACTTTTTTTCCCTTTTTCTGCATGAGAGGTGACTGTGGAGCTTCAGATGTTGCCAGCAATCTGATTGCATAGCTGCTATTGTGGGATGTCAGGAGTTACAGTTTAGCAATACTTGAAGGGTTCCAGATTCCCAACCTTGTTGTATGTGTTTATTTTTTCTAAATAGATAAAGGAAGCAACTGAATGTTAGGAATTTTATCTTTTCATTTGCTTTACATGTTTTTAAACACAATGAGTTAATTAATTTTGGGTTCTGTATATTAAAATGATATATAAATGAAGACTGAAAACAGATAATTTCTGAGAATCTGAATATGCATTCATCACACACAAATCTGATTTCTTTTTTTTATAAATTAGAAAATAGTGATATTTTCTTTCTGTATTATAGGTGGAGCGTCTACAGGATCTCGTTAAAAAAAGTGAGCAGGGCCTTACTATTGCAGAAGGGCACATTTCTAGCCTCCAGGAGACCCAAGAAATACTGCAAAAAGAATTAGAACTAACTCAGTCAAAACTGAGAGAAACCACTGATTCCCTGTATAATGCTGAGGTAAATGCAGAATTCCTTCACATATATCTACTCCAGCAGGCAAGCTCAGGTGGTCATATGACCTTCCATGCCATATATGGAGAAAATTTCAGGAATATGACAATGACTTTCAGCTTGGGTGGCTTTAAGGGGTACTAGACAAATTAATGGATAATTGCTTGCTAATAATACAGTTGTTTGTAATCTCTGGGTTTACAGTAAGCATGCCATAGTACCAACTGGCAGGAGCAAGCAACAGTGTTGCCTTCATGTTTGGCTTGTGGTTTTGCTAATTGATCATAAGATGCTGGACAAGCTAGGCCTGATCTAGAAAAGATTGTATCTCCCTTTTTCTTTTAATAATGTTATTAAGTTTTAAAAAGCAAAAGGATAAAAACTAACATGAACTAATAATCAAGAAGAAGGGTAGAAAGAAAAAAAGAAAGCTCACCGACTTTTGTTTTTTATATATGATAACCACAGCTAGACTTTTATATGCTTAAAAGTGGAAAGATTCGACATTACCTACACTGGAAGACTAGGTGGTGAAGTTGATGGAGTTAGCTGAGATGGCAAAATTGACAGCTTTGCTTAGAGAAAAAAGATTAACTTTAATGCTAATTGGAAGCCGCTTTTGGACTTTTTTCAGGAAACAGAAAAAAACCCCAAAATTATGATATATGGATTTGATGATTAGTTAAATGCATAGATTATACAAAATATGTACGTTAAGATGTAGTTTTAGAGTGAGAGGTTATTGTATGATTCATTTATATCTGCTGTATAAGAAGTCGGAAGTCATTCTTTTTGTATTTCTTTCTTCTCCTTTTCTATTTTCTACCACTTTTGTTTTCTTTCTTTATTTCTAGCTTTCTTGCTTTCTACTCTTCTTCTTGATTATTAGTTAGTTTTTATCCTTTTGCTTTTTAAGATTGTATCTCTCATACATAGATCAGATAGCAGTTGAGCTATAGGTAAAGGTCTGTTCTTATCTGCATAAAATCAGTTTTGAAAAATGTTCTTATATTTATGAATGGATGAAACATATATTACTAGAAAAAATAATTATGTCAACATCATGCTGTTACGTAACTAAAAATGTTAAACATGTTTTTCCGTGTTAATATAAAAATGCTATTTATTCTGCATTTTGAAATGGCATTAATGTTATTTCAGAGCATACTATTACCATAGAATTACTTAAATCTGTATTGTTGTTACTTAAATCTGTATTGGATTTTTGGGGGGGATTTTTTTTTGTTTTTTGTTTTGTTTTGTTTTTTGTTTTAAGGGGGAGTTAGACAAGGAGAGACAGCACCATGAAGCAATGATTGTAAACATGAGGGAAGAGGAGAAATTAAAACTTGATAGAATGGCTCGTGATCTGGAAATAAAATGGACAGAAAATCTTCGGCAAGTATTTTTTTCCCCTTATTTTCTCTTTTAAAGCAATGTATATCTTAATATAAAGGAGCCGGTTTGGTGTAGTGATTAAGACATCAGGCTAGAAACCGGGAGACCCTGAGTTCTAGTCCTGCGTTAGGCATGAAGCTAGTTGGATGACCTTTGGCTAGTCACTCTCTCTCAGCCCTAGAAAAGAGGCAATGGCAAACCACTTCCGAAAAACCTTGCCAAGAAAACTTCAGGGACTAATCCAGGCAGTTACCAGGAGTCAAAAACTGACTCAAAGGCACAAATATCTCTTTATAACAATAATGTTGTATTGATCAAGACTATGCATTTCAACAAAGTTTCTACAGTGTTTTAAAAGCTAGAATAAGTTTTAGTTCTATCTCTTTTTTTCAGGCAGGAATGTGCAAAACTTAGAGAAGAATTGAGACTTCAACATGAAGAAGATAAAAAGTCAGCAATGACACAACTCTTGCAGCTAAAAGAGAGAGAGAAAAATGCCGCCAGAGATAGCTGGCAGAAAAAAGTAGAAGATCTTTTGGATCAGGTACCCAGAATAATTAGTTGATAATTCCTCTTTTAGATGATTATAGTCTGAAGTGAGATTTGTTGTTGCAAAATTAATTCACTTACAATTTGATAAATAAGAAAAATCATTTGTAGATTTCTTTGGCATTGTGTCTATATATGACACAATATTTTTAAATTATTAAAAATAGGAACATGCCATACAACTGTGGCAAACTAGAGGACTGCCTGTAAAGCTTAAGACATAGATTAATTCCTTCCAATGTATAATGTTAGTTTAGAAAAATAGACAGGAACCACTCCAAGTTTAAGAAAACTCTAGAATAAAATACTATAATGTTTTTTTAACTTCCTCATCTGTTTACATCTATTTTCTTTTTCAAAAGCTTGAACTACTCATAACATAAAGCATAAATATAAAATCATGAAGAAAAGCAATCATTTACAATATGGGTAGCAGTAATTTTACACAACTTATAAATCAATGTGAGAAAATAAAATTTAAAATTATGCATAACTGAAACATGTATTAATGTTTACACTGCTTTCACAAAGCAACCAAAGATATACTGTATACATACAGTACATGCCATACTGAAGATTTTCAGTAATACCTCTTTTGATTGTAATGCTGAAATAGCATACTGTGCTAGAATCTACATGGTTTATAGAAATTATTCATTGGACTCTTCATACCAAATACTATTGCCTAGATAATATTTTGAATAGGCTCTAGACAAATAAATCAATATATGCAATTAGAGATTTGCCAAAAATCATAGTACTTGGCACAGCAAGGAATTTATTAAAGCTTATTCCAGTATAATTTCAGCTAATGCACAAGTTTCTTCTGCTAGCAGCCACTAGAGGAATAATTTATCTTTTTTTGTTCTATCACATGTTTTAAGAATTTCAGATTGAAGCCCTTTGCATTTCTTTTTCTGAAAGAAGTTAACTTCATCCATTACTATTATTTTGTATCACAACAAGATGTCACTGAAAACAAGTGCAGTAGATAAACACAAATTGAAATCCCAAGGAACACATATACACACTAAGAGTAAATAGGATATGGGATGTACATTACTGTGTTCAATTTACACATTTTAGAAATTAAATAATAGCAAAACATAAGTTTAATCCTAGAATCCTATAGAGAGATTCTTGGGATTGTTCCATTGAATTCAGTGGAAATTCTTCCAAGAATAAGATTACATTGTTAGATCATTAGATAATAGTAAGAGTTTATTCATGCTTTCCTCACTAAGAGAAAATAATATTGTTGTAGACCAGTGATGGCGAACCTTTTGGGCTCAGTATGTCAAAAATTCAGAAAATGCCTAACTTGACACTGCTGGTGTGTCACCCCACCCCCAAACAAAAGAGAAACAATTCTTTACATATTCATTTATTTTTAAAAAATACAATCTAATCATGTGTGGTGCTATGTATTATGTAAAGAAACGTCAAATAACTACAAAAATGAAATATGAGTAAAACAAACTCTATTTCTTTGGTACTCAAACAGGGAAAATAGTTATTGTCAATTGTTGGTGAATGGTGGCATGTCACCCAAAACATCGTGGTGTATCACCTTTGACATATGTGTCATAGGTTCACCATCACTGTTGTAGACTATATAATGACTAGTAAAATAGCCATATGAAGTTTTGAACCTGGTTTTTAAAGTATGTATCTGGAAATATATTACTCTAGTTAACCAAGGGGTGTGGTCTTAGTTATGGTCTATATAGGATTTCATTTTCAGTAAAGGAAGCAGGTTTTGCCATTAGGTATAACAGCAAGATCCCATAGTTTTCCTGGATTAGAATATTTTTTGGGGACTGAGATTTTCTAAGTCAATTTCATTATTTGCTCATTACTCTTTTGAAATTGGTTAAAAAGCTGGAAATAATGATTTGATTAGTGCATAATTTTCATAATGAATTTTTCTCTTTGTAAATTTTGATTTTGTTAAAACATTATTTAATTAATTTAGGAAGTATCATGAATCAGTAAGCATCTTAAGGTTCTTAATAATTTGATTGATAGATCTAACAATCTAAAATGACTGGAGTATGAATCATGTATCCAACAGTGAAATTATCCATCATTCAGTTTTAACAACTGTAGTCCTCATATCTGTGCTGCATTTAATGTATACGGTGATATACCACTTATACATGGTGACAGTACATCTTTAGCTTGTTAGTAAATGGCAGTATACAATAAATTTGAAATTAATTTTGCTATGGAACACATAATATTATAAAGAAAATTCATATTTAAAAAAGGAAAGGAATTTATGAATTAATTTGGGATTGGCAATAGTAAATTATGTTGCTAAGTTATTTTAAAAATAAAAAATGTATATGTTCACTATTGAAAAATATAGCTGAACTTTTTTTTTCAAATTTATAAACAGATGTGCTGACAAATATATTTTTCTATTCTTCGAGAATTTATTTATTATGTATGCAGAACACCAGTTGGGATGAAAGAAAAAATAATTTCATATAGAAACTACATATAATTCTGAAACACTTACCATTTTCCCAATGTTTATCTTTAAAAAAGATACAAAATATTTTTATTAAGGAGATTTTTATATGTATTCAGAGGATTTGTATAACAAACCATAGCAAAACTGTTCTGTATTATTTTTTCTCAACATATTTCCCTTATCAAACCAATATGAATGTTCTGTCTTTTACTGTCCCTTTTTTATTCCATCTTCTTAGTTATTTCTGAATTATTTCCTTTATTCTTGTGATCTTTCCTTCATAGCGGCACTATCTTGGTGAAGCTTTGCATAAATCTATCAGCAATGTAAGTGACTTGCACTTACAGTTTGTACGCAAGGGCATGCTTGTACTTCTCAGCTTGCATATTGGCAATGTTGCTTTGAAATCTAATCCTTTGAAATAAAATAATTAAAATGTTCATGGAAAGAGATTACAAATTTTCATAAAAAGCTGTGACCTGCATTCATTATGTGTGTGTTCATATTTAATATCAGATATCAGTCATTTTATGTAGTGAAAAGAAGCTTGCAGCTAATATATTTGCATATTACATAGCCTTTTATAAAGCATGAAATAATGCAACTCAGTTATGGATGAGCTATTATAATTCCTTTTCTTGTTTCTACAAAGATATGGAAGACAGTGAATGAGATCCAAATAACTATATATAGAACACTGTGCATATGTACATTCTTTTCTTTCTGCAAAGCAGTGTTTTGAAAAAATCCAAGATTATTAATATGTCTGTTGTCTTCTGACTAGCAAAACAATTGGACTTCCTCTGACATTCAGTTTTGTAGCAAAGAGTTAATGGGCAACTTCCTTAGCTATGCCACAGTTTGGTAATGCAAAATATCTCTTGAGCTACAGTATCATAGATTTGTCTGGGTTTTTTTTCTTCCTGTTATGATGCAACCCTATAGATGTTTTCTCAGAAATAAGAAACTTGAGATCAGTGGTCCTTATCCTCAGGTAAGGAAGTATAGGATTGCAATCTCCATGGTTGTAATTTTGGACAAGATTACAATCATGGGTTGCCGTTCTAGATAACCACTATATAGCTTAAAAGTAGCATGCACATATCAAGAAATTTATTCTGGCAGCCTTTCAATATTAAGGTAGCTATTGATTCATATAGATGTTCAGTTCCAGTAGAAATTTTCAAAAATACTAGAATGCATGCATGCGTGCAACTAGCGGTGCATATAACTGGAGCCTGAGAAATGAGAAAATAGCATTTCTTAACATTATTTATGTCTGTAACTAAAGTGGTGCAAAAAAAAGATTGTGGATGAAACTTTGGAACAACTGTTCCAACTTTGGAATGGTGTTCTAATTTCAAAGTGAACTGTTAAAGTAATCTGATCTTGAAATGGAAGTTGGAATTGACCCATTTCAAAGTCATAGCACTCTTGGTATAGCTGTTCCAAAATCAGAACAAACATTCCAATAGCATGGCAAGAAGTTACAGTGTTGTAATATGTTGGCCACAAAACACATTCACACTTCTGTTTTTGTCTTAAAAAATTAAAGTGTTAACTTAAATTGAACATACAAGAAAAACATTAACATATGCATTTCTTTCCCAAAAGTGAATATTCAGGATATCAACACTGATTAACCCAATGAGATTATTACCATCACTGTATGCTACATTAGAGAGGTATCTCATTGTTTTATATCAAGTGGTGGCACTGATTTGATAGATTGCATGTTTCACACAAGTTGGAACACCTAAGTTTTGTAAGTCTCCCTTAGTTTCTTAACCTGCTTGACCCCATTCTCTCCTAAAAGCTGGCCTTGAGGAATTGAATAGGATATTATGTATAAAGTTACAGAAGGATTAGAGTTAGGGGGATTGGCAAACCTTAGGCATCCCAGCTTGTGAGAGTGAAGCATTTTTCAGATACAAAAGTACCACTGAGAATATTTCTGGGCAAACATCAGTATTTCATGCAGCTTCACAAAATTTAACTTTCCTTGTTCCTCTTCCTTCTTCAAAAGGGAATAATGAATTTATAAAATTGGTTTCTTTCAGTAAAATGATTTATTTCATGCATGCTTGCATTCCATATTAAGTATGTCCTTACATTTAAAGGGGCTGAATGTGATGCTTTTTTTTTTTTTTTTTTGGTATTTCTGTTTATATCAAAACATTAATTAGTTATAAGGTATGTTCCTTGTTATGGTAATAATGTATGTAGTTTTCATTATTAATACTTTGTTGTTAGGGTTTTTGTGAAGAACAGGATTCATGTCTAATCCTAATTAGCGCTGCAGAGTGACCAGGTGAATATGGATCACTGTCAAAGGAAAAAAAGTAATTGTGGCATTTGTTTGATTAGAGTTCTATTAAAGCCTGTAATGATTCAGTTCTAAACCAGGTAAAGTAGAACCCAGCAATTGTAGAAAATAGATTCACTATTAAGGTAAACATTGTTAAGCAATAGGGAGAATTTTAGTATTGCATTGTGTCTGGATGTACAGCATTCAGATCCAAAGTGAGAAAGGTGCTTCAGATCAGGCTTGGGCATACTTACTATAGGTGTCAGTACCATCTTTAAGAAGCCACACCTTTTCTACGATAGCTGTGCAGTCCCAAGATATTATGTTTTTGATTTTAGGAGGAACACTCCCAGGAAAATACATGTTTGCATTTAAGAGGCATCCAGGAGACAGTGACAAGATATAACAGCATGTTTTCCATGATCACTTCCATTGGATTAATCTGAAATCTTACGACTATAAAAGCTTGATGCAATTTAAATGAAGCTGTATTAACTAATAACCATCTCTTTAGGATTCGTTTTTAGCCTGCCATATCATTGAACAAATCTAGAGACTGTGATGGTTCTTTTACCAACTCTAAAATTCTTATTTTTAAACACTATTTGGTAATAATGATTTCTGGGCTTGCTTAGTGTCTCCATTGCTGATTCAGGGAAATGTCATTTTTCCCCTCTGATTCACTTACTAAAAGGATGTTAACTTTAAAGTTTCTAGAGACTCCACTGATAGTGAGGGTTCAAATATTCTCAAGCCTCCATTGCAGAGAGCTAGAATTTAGGAGAAATCCTCTGCTTTTTTTAAACCCATTGTTTCCATTTTTGTTCAACAGTGAGATTTACAACAGGGTGCATAGACAAGGGAATAAAGGAAAAGCAAGACTAATGAAGGAGTATCCCTTCACTCTCCTTTTCTTTTTGGAAAATTCTCAGTAAATATTGCTTCCCCCCCCCCCCCCCCCCCCCCACTTCAAAACAGCTATCTAGTTCTGATACACAATTTTCTTAACTAGTAGTGATGGACTAATAATATAAACTATATAGCTTTCTGTTGCTCTAAACGTTAGTGCAGTTGGTTGAATAATATACATTGTAGCAATTTGATAGGCTTTTTTAAAATCAAGAACCCTAGAAGAGCCATTGGCTCAAATTATGTCTCCAACTATACTTCTGAAGCTGGATGATCTTCTGTCAGTAATGCTCTAGTGCGGTGGTTCTCAACATGGGCCATGCCATATTTCTCGGGAGTCACAGTAAGTATCTGAGGGAGCCACCCAAACATAGCTGCCAGATATGATCAATTGTCATAATCCTCACATCTCATTCTCTGTGCGAATTTCAGCAGCATAAATATTGAAAATTACTACAGTTTACAATAAATATCTTAATAGTGACTATGAGAGGGGTCAGAGAGGTAAATGAAGCTCAGAAGGGGACCATGAGCAAGCAAAGGTTGAGAACTCCTGCTGAGTGGATCCTGCAATGCACAGGGAATTGGACTACAGTAGATGATCTCTAAGATTACTTCAAATCCTATGATTCTATGATTTTATTAAAGAAAATTGTGTGGTGGAAGAAAACTCGAAAATTTATCAGAAGTATAACTGAAGAAATTGTTGCAATTGCTTTTCCATTGCACAAATAGGTCAAGGGGCAATTCGCATTCCATATTGGTCTAAGCAAAGTACCCCTTTTATGTTGAAGCAGCTGTGTCCTCAGGAAGCTTGTTGCTTGAGGGCTTCATGAGATGGTCAGTGCATGTGTATACCCAGACAAAACCTCTTTGGGGGCTGCTCATGAAGTAAAGTAGTTCTGCATGCACAGACATGTGGAGACAAATTGAGAAAGTCCTTGAAGTACCCACACCCCTCTTGGAGGATACCGCTATCTCAACACTTCAATGATGGATACCATATTCACACTATTGCATTTGGGAAAGTGCCTTCAGAAACTTTGCACAATTGTAATGTTTAGCATTTATATTATCTTGTAAATGTATGCATAATAGAAATTCTAAATCTGAGTTAACTTGAGTATTAATTATTTCATCTGTATACAGGGTATCTGTACCTTTACTGAATTATTTGAGTTCATGTGTAAAAAAAATACTGTTGTAAATATTTGGCATTCTGATCTTCATAATAAATATTTATAGACTAATGCAGTGTATATTAATATTTGCACTGATCATATGAACTAACCTAAATCAGTCCTTCTATTAAGCTATTTGAAAGCCGATATATCATGAATGAAACTAATGATGGTGCCTGTGGTTTTTACTATTACTTTGTGTGAACTTATTCAGAGAATAATGATAGCACCAATATGGTATTATGGAGATACTGGAACATTGCAGGCTATTATAGCGTACTTTCAGGTTTTAATAGAACAAATGCCAACAGGATGTAAAAGCAATATTGCTCTTCCTTCTGATCTTGGCCTCAGTACTATCATTTTCTCCAAATCTCAGTCTGTAACCTGAACTACCCAGCCTGGAAATATTTTGTAAGAACTGTACATTACTCTGCATGGCTAGCACCTGTCTTGTCACTCAGCTTGATACTGGGTTTTAGGAAATCATCTAGAAAGGTATGAGTTATGCCACAAAATCACAATATGGGAATAAGGATCAAATAAAATCAGTTATTTTATTTATTGCATGTATATACCATCTTTCCTCCCAGAGTTTAAGGCAGTGCACATAGTACTTCTGCAGCTTTACTATAATGATAAGCTTGTGAGGTGGGCTTGGTTGTGATGTACAGTTATGAAGTGAGCAACATGTCTAAATAGGAATTTGAAGCTGGGTGTCCTTAGTCTGTAGTTGAATAATCTAAGCAATACAATACATTAAATACAATATATGTTAATTGGTTATTCTTTTGTAGTGTCCTAAACAATTCTAGAGCTAATATAAAAGTCTGATATTTCATTTCTTTAAAACTTATTAGTAATTTACTTCATAATCCAAAAATAAGATTGTAAACCCAATTGAGTTGCTTAGGACTTCTTCCCAGGTAGATGTATTACAGATTTTGTTATCTATTATTTTTATGAAGCAATCTTTTTGGGCTTTTAAGAAGACTTAACTCTTACTTAACAAGCTTTAGATATTAGAAGAAACAGTCCAGCAGCTGAATGCTTTGAACATTGGAGAAGGTCACAGACAGTTGGGGAGAGATGTTTATATAATGCAAAGTAGAAATCTTTCTAGTAGTTTTCCTACCTTTTTTATCATAAATGTTTGTTTCAAGTTATAATGTATATCTGAACATTTGCTAAAAGAAATGTGCTACTGAACAACATATGCCAGAACACAGAGATGAAATATTTTTAAAAATGCAAGAATTTCTGTGAGCATTGTACATTGCATATCATATCCCATACTGCTTGATAAAGTGTGAGACTGCAGTTGTTCAGTGGCTTAGTAACATATTTATAGATTTCTCTACTTTTCCAAATTTTAATCAGTTAAAAATCTATGCATAAACTTAAGTTAAATATCATTCTGATATTTCTGTTGCATTTTGCTTTTCTGTGAATTAGATCACTCTGCTAAAACAAAACCTAGAAATGCAGCTTTCACAGTCTCAGGCCACAATGCAGCAATTGCAGGCACAGTTTAGTCAAGAGCGACAGAGACTGGCCCAAGAAATTGAAGAACTGGAAGAAGAGCATCAGCAGAGACATAAATCCATGAAAGAAGCACATATCCTTGCATTTCAGAGCATGGAAGAGACAAAAGAAGAAGAGCAAAAGGTATGTTCAGTGGGGGTTGGTAGTATCACACAATTCCAAATGAAAGGCCACACACACACAAAAAAGAAGCAAACATGAGCATTATTTTAATTAAATACTTGAATCTTTATTTTGGACATCCAAGGGATTTGTTTATCCCCCAATCATATGATATTGGAAAGTTTAAACAGTTTTACCTGTTTAACTGTGTACCTCAGGACACAGTTGCAGAGAAATACAAAGAAAAAAGCTCAATTTTATCTGAACAGTAATTAGAGAACACAAAGAGATATTTTTCATTAGACCTCACCAAAGTCATAACCATATATGATTTGATTAACTTGCCCATTTTCCTATATGCTTTGTCAGAAACTCGGGATGGTGGCTCTCACACCAAATGAATCTTTTTGCTTCCTTTTGTTCCCTATTTTGGTGATAATCCTTTAAAAGTGATTTACAAAAGATTAAAAACTTTGAATAGCATCTTCTATACATAAATTACAAGACAATATATTCTAAAGCAGAGATGCATTATTTTTTTTTTTCAGTCTGAGGGATACAACTGGCCTTGTAGAAATATGCAAAATATTTTGAGTTTAAAACAGACTGTTCTGACCATTCCAGAAATGTACTATGTATATGTATAAATAGTAGAATTATTCCTCGTATATTTTATAATTATCTCTTTCTGTCATATTAAAGATTCCATTTCATCAGTTTTGGAAAGGGCTCTGACGGCTGCATTCAAGCTTTTTAAGAGGTTGACCTGGGACCTCAGATTGATCAAATAAAATTAGATATACAATATATAGTCCATAATTTTAAAAAAGAAAAAATAGGTTGGAGCAGAAAAAGGAAAAACATTAGGGAGGAAAATATAGATAGTCATAGAGAAAAATCTAATAAAGTTAGATCAAATTTCTTGAAAGTCTTTTTCTTTGCCTCTCTGTTGAAGGATTTTGTAATTATAATTATATAAACTTTTAAGATGAAAAGCTCATTTCACTTTTTTTCAAAACTACCTTATACATTTTGGTCTACAGTTCTCTTGGAACCCACCAACCATGCTAACTGGCATTCTGAGCACAACAATTTATTGCAGAAGATAGGCAAGCTGCAGAAAAGATTCCATAAAATAAAAACTTAAAAATAATTTCCTCTGTCTTAATTGTAAGAATATTTTCATATTTATTTACTTCCCTTAGGAACTTGAGGAACGCTTGCAACAGAAGCATTCAGAAGAACTTCAGGCACTGAAAGATGCACACAGACAAGCTATGGATGCTTTCAAAATAGAAATGGAACAGGAAGTGCAGACTCTTCGCTTTGAATTGGAAGATGAAGGAAAAGCAATGCTTGGTACTGTACTGTACTTTCATGTCACAGTTTAAAATGTAAGCTCTGATTTAGAAGGCAGATATAATTTGCTGCCTAATACACAACCATGTAGGTTTTGGCTTTGGTTTTGCTAACAGAAGTGGTTTGCCATTGTCTTGTTATGGGATTTTTTTCTGACTTTCAAGTCTAGTTTATAGCCCTAGGATTTCTTGGTGGTTTCCAACGCATGAACTAGTTACACATTTTGAAATCAACCCATCTTCCCTTGGTCATCTGCAGCTTCCTGCATTTGGAGTACATGCAGGATTTTTAGGTGAAAAATAAGAGTGCTTCTTGAAGGCTTATTAATACCTCACAGTTTATAACATAAGTTTAATATTGTGGCACAGTCTCCACAATTCTTATGATTTATCATCTCCTAAATCAAGTTGATGACTCTATGAGATTTTATATAAAAATTTATATAATACATAATAAAATAAAGATTTTTCCATAGTTGTTCTTATTCTGGGCAATAGTTTAGTCTCTCCTTTTTCATTATCTTCGATAATAGCAGTTTCTTTAGTGTTATCTTTGTATCTATCTCTTTTTCACCTTCAATATCAGTGCCTCATTCCAACAAAAATAGGGCCAAAACCAGACCATAGAAAACTAGAGGGAAGTATCCACATGATTGGAGAAATCCAAGGTTTGCAAATATACAAAGCAGTATTTAAAATTCCAAAGAGATACAATTCATTAAAAAAATTGCAGTGATGATTGTCGTCAAATTGAATATTAGAAAATAAAATAGAATACTGGCTTAAAATGAAGATAATGAATTGGTTTCCTTGAGCCTTTCATAGGTTATATAATGCACTTTTCTTGTCTGATTTGCTTATACTGGTTGCTATCATCATCATCATCATCATCCATGGGTTGGTTTTGTTTTTATTTCTATTTTTAGAATACATAACTGATCTGGTTTTAAAATATTTGTTCGCTGCTTTGAACCTGCATGGTAGAAAAGATTGGGTTGTAAGTCTTTTAAACATACATACATAAAATACATACTTATTATGTAACTATCCTGGAAAACAGTATGACTGATTGGGCCCTCGAAAGGAGCACTCCTTCCAGAAGGAGAAGTTATATTTCCAGTCGAGTAATATCAAGATAATAAAGGATAAACAGAAATTTAAAATATGTCATCCTTTCTTTTGGTAATTTGTCTTTATGAGTTTCCTTCCAAATTCATTAGTGCTCTACACAATTCTCCTATAGGAAGTACACATACTTGGATATGAGCAATTTTACTCATGCTTATCACATTTTGAAATGGCTTTCTTGCTTGAGTGTCACCAAAGCAAATACTCATCTTTTGAAGAACAAAAATAAACTGAAACTATAGGGCGCAAGCCCTATAAATATGGAAGACAGGAGTTGTGTTACTCTTAATGAATGTCAGGGTAATACATCTGTTACAAAATATTTTCTCACTAAAGGATGGGAAATAATAGGGAAACCAATGTACAAATTGTGCCATTTGAAAAAGCATTAAATATATGATGCATTAATTATATGGTGATAGTAGGTATACATATCAGTTTTTAAATATTATTTGTGAAGTATTTTTTAAAATACTTTATTTGTATCTCTCAGCATCTTTGCGCTCTGAACTAAATCATCAACATGCTGCAGCAATTGATCAGCTGAGGCACAATCATCAACAAGAAGTAGCAGCAGTTAAAATGGAACTTGAAAGAAGCATAGAACTCAGCAGGCACCAGGTATATATTTGTGCTATACCCTAAAGAATATAAACATATTTTTAAGCTATGGCACAGGGTGTTTCATCTCTAATATATCTTTTTGATCAAAAAGTAACAAAAAAGGCTTTTTGATCAAGAGTAAATATATAGTATTTGAGTTATTTCTCAGTTAAAACATTTGAATTGAGTAACATTATCTGTCCAGCATTTCTTTGGGCATTTTCTGGTCTTTTAAGGTCAATTGGTATATAGCAAGGATTGTTGTTCACCACTGTGGATCTGTTTGTCATGTAATATGGCCAGCTCATTACCATTTCAATTTCGTATCACATACTCCTGTCTATTGGTAGATGCATATATTTCTTTTATCACATGCTATGTTCAGCATTTACCATTCCATGCTTCTATGTGTAATTTTAAACTGTTGTGCTGCTTTTGCATTTAATGTCCAAGTTTCACAACCAGTATCAGTATACATTAATTGTAAATTAGTATTAAGCAGATTAGTATGTTGCTTTTGAATGCAGCATGAAATTGTCCACATGCTCTCCAACCTCGTGTGGTCTGGTTCAGAATTTCTTCTACATTATCACCCGCTGGGGTATTCTTTTGACTGAGGTATCTTTGGAGCTATTATTCCAAAGATAAGTAACAGAATTAAATGATAGCAGCAAATGATCAGGCTTGAAAATGAACTTGAAGAAGTCTCAAGTCATGTTTAACAACTACTCCCAAACTTTGCCAATAAAAATTGAAAATCATGAACTGCAGAAGGTCATCTGTCTATCAGCCCAAATCAATCCACTGCAGGATGAAGACCACTTCATTGAAGGTTATGGAACTGTAATCTACCATGCTGGTCCAGTGAGGGTTAGTAGATAAGTATTTTTTGATTTCCCATTCTAGGGCTGAGAGAGAATGACGGGCCCAAAGTCACCTTGCCAGCTTCCATGCACAAGAGAGGATAAGAACCTGCATCTCCACACTTTGGCACCTTAACCACTAGACCACACTGTCTGACAGTATGACAGAGACAAACATTTAGGTACAGTGGGGTAAAAAAATATTTAGTCAGCCACCAATTGTGCAAGTTCTCCCACTTAAAA